CAAATCGTCGCGCGCAAAAGGACGAGCGAGAAGGGCCCCGGATATAAGTAGAAAAGTGAACGGCGCGGAATGGTCCGAGATGTGGGCGTGCACGGGGCGAGTGATGGATGTCAGTGTCACCCTCGAAAACACGTGTTTCACTTACATAGATGCCCCGAACGCGAAGCAGTGTTTGTCTACCATTCTCACTCGCTAATTATCGGCCCCTCGAGCCACCGTCCCCTTTGTCGGCCTCCTCGCTCTTATAGAAACGGATCTTTAATTTAATTTCCGCGGCGCAGGGCGGCGCGACGCACATGTCAGTGATTAGTTCGCCCCGACGCGCCGCGGCGCGTCAGAAATTAAAGATTCTTAATTCTCGAGCGTGAAAGGGGAGGAAAGTTAAACGATTCGGGGAACGATCGGGTTTCGGGGATTAATGTAGCGTCACGCGAATCGCCGCGAATGCGTATCGACGAGCGAACATCGGGGAAAACATCTGTCACGATGAAAGACGCGCGAAAGAGGATCGGGATTGAAGTCGTTCGAATCCGTTTCAGCCTTTGAATTTTCTTCGGGGAATCGACGAGCGCGCGGAGCTAGCGTAGAAGAGAATCGTGCGCAGAACATTCTACTATAGATTTATACCGCGTCCATCCGCGGCTTCGAAATAGTCCTGTCAAGCCTCATCATTATTTCCAGTGAGCTCATAAACCTGGGCTACGGCCAAACAGCGTTATCTTCCGTTGAAGAGGCTTCTTGGCAACTGATTGCGATTTTTCCACATTCCCGTCTAAAGTTGGTTACCGCCGCGGCTCCCCGGCGATCATGTTATCACGTCCGATTACATCAACGCGCGCACTTCGTAGGTAGTATTTATTCAACGGCCACGGAAAAATCGCCGTGATTCTAATATCGCGGGAAGAATGGATGTCGGGATTTTTTCTGAGATTGCGGGAGAGTCTATTTATAACTGCGAAATTTATGCAACTTGACGCCAGAGGAAATTAATTATGCGCTAATCGCGGTACATTTTTCACGATAACCGTCTGACCTCGTCGAACATAGTTTCATCGTAGCTCCTCCGCTTTCCAGACGGGCCCGCCGGAGACTCGGCCGGCGATCGTTCGATCCTCTATTGTACTCGATCCTCTTCTCCTCTCCGTTTTCACACGGAAAAACCATCGGTTCGCATCGTTTCCCGATAGTCCTCGCGCGATATCGCCGCTTTCCGAGAAGCCTCGTCTATTTGGCGCGCGTTAAAGGCGCAAGACCGTCCCGCCCGACCTTTCACCAGCTCGCTCCTCTAATTCTTCCTCCCTTTTTCATCCCCGGTGCCGCACCTTTCTTCGTGCACCTAAAATACATCCGTGCGAAATTTATCTCGCACGTGTGTGCAGGGCTGCGTGTGTCGGTGCGCGAGCCCGGTCACATCTGGAATACGCGATGACAGTGGGACCGAAATATATCCGATCGACGAACAAAAAACTTGCACCGGCGTAAGTGTAGCCGGTGTTCTTTTTCGTCTTCGATACCGCGAACGCTCGTTGTCCCCGTTTTTCGCGGAGGGGCGCAAAATCAAAAGCAGAAGCCGATACGAACGGAAATAGTTCTAACAGAATGCAATTTTGCAGCCTGCCGCGGCCGAAGCGTCCCGTTGGAGGGATGGTTCCGGATGAACGAGCGTTTCCTGTCTTTCCCGAAGAGACTGAAGAGAGCTCGGACTTGATTGGTAAAGTGTAACGTTGTTATTTGCAAAGCGCGATGACCATTCGTCAATTCCGATTCCATGATGTCCAGTGTTTTTCACTCCACGTTTTTCGTCCACAGGCAGTGACGTCTCACGCGTGCCGAAGAATCCCCAGTTTTTGGAATGAGGCACCGAGAAGACTCCCCGATGGCCGCCCGCCAGGTTTCCCAGTCACAGGACAGGTATGCAGAACTCTACCTTCAAATCGTGCAAGTAATAACTTGTCAACAATACATCTTGGAATCGTTTCTCCGTAGGATAGTTGTCTGTAGGCGAAATAGTCCATGCGATACGTTCCACCTTGTCGCGTTCGCGTAGCCAACGCTTGTCACGAGAGTCCGCGCGGCTCGGATGATTTTCGAGCTTCACTATCGCTAGAAGAATACACACAGGTACAGTACTTTCCGCGGGAGAAGCTGAAGCCGGTTAAATGACTGAACGAATCCCAGTCGGCATCATCGTCGACAGCGTGTAATACGATGTTGCATAACACTCGAAATAACTGTTGCGCGAGGCGCATCGAGATGTTGCTTAATATTACGATAAAGAGATAGATAGCGTCACCCACGATTTTGCATGATTTACACTGGCCATCTCGTATTCTCGGCGACAGTGTAACTCTCCGTTTAATCAAAATTCAGACAAGTTCAATTCTAGCGAGCGGCGCTACGTTCCGGGACCCACTCTTTACTTAGGAACTAATTGAATCGCTTTCTCTGGTCCAGCAAAGTGTTTGCAAACCCTTTCGGAATCGGCGATTAGTAGCTTTGAAATTTGTTTAACAAGGGGACAAAGCTACCGAGCGTCGAACGCGAGAACTGTCTTCCAAGGATTAGCTTCAAAAGAGAAACGAAATTAGCGACAACGAATTGTCCTGAATCCTTTTAAACTTCCAGGACGCTGTTCGTAACATTCTGAAGAGGAGCAACGGGGCGAACGGTCCTTAGGTAGCCGAAGTGGGAGCACCAGGAGCTAATACAACTATTTGCGCAGTCCTCTGTCAACCGGACCCTTTAAAAGCTGGCTTCCGTGTTTAACTGGAACAAACGGCACTAATTGAACGCTAATGAATCTGTAACTGCACGTTTCCTGCCGCTGTCAATATCGTCGAGCCTCTCCGGAACCATCTCCTGAGGACAATCTGATTTCCAACGAGAATCAACGGGACAAACAACCGTACACTGTCGTATCGTATGATCGCTTTGCCAATCTCTCGGATGTACTAGAAACTAATAGTTACAACTTAGAATCAACATTTTTCTTCATAGATCTCTTATCGATAGACATTCACCTTCAATATCAATAAAATAAATCATTAAAAAACTGAACAACCCTCGCTCCATAAACAAAAGTTCTCGCTCTTCACCTTTTTGCTTATGAAACGAAGGTTTTGAAATATGTTAATCGTTCCTTTTATCGATACTGAAGCTGAACGTCTATCAATAAGGAATCTATGAAAAAAACTGTTGATTCCAAGCTGTAACTATCAGTTTTCCGCTGTGGAACCCGAACCGATCCGATGCGCCTCGGCCTACCCTACGCCCGAGTGGTCCGGCCTCCGCCATTATCCGCAGAAGTTCGCGTCCCGTCCCTTCGCGATCGTCACAGTCGCGATCCGAAGCGTGCAGAATAACACAGAAACATTACAGTTAATCGGTACGTTACATTGTTCGTGACAAATTTTTATTGTCGGCGGTATCTCCCGCTGGAAGAGTACGTTCGGACGGCTTTATCTCGGGGTGTACGTTTCCAATGTATCGCTTCGCGTATCAAGGTCTTGAACCGTACGCGCGGCTACGGCTGTATTGGTGTCAATGACTCCGGGGGATTGTCAACGTCATCCGGGGGGATAAAAAACGAAGGAGCCCGATAACGCGAGCATTTTAAACCGCGGACGTTCTTTCCACGCGTATCGTTCCGCAAAAAAATTCATTGGACCTCTCCTCGCTCCGAAACGCGTTCGTGCCCGTACAAAGTTCGACTGTCCCACGCCGACGATAACGCGCTCGTCCACGATTTTTCGAAAGATTATCTGCGATCGCGGGTTCAAGGTCTGCCGCCGCTCCTTTCCCTTTTTCTGCCGGAGATTTTCGGCCGGGCTCCTTTCGAACAATTCGACTGCGACGCGTGTGCATTGTCCGATTAAGCGTGGCAAAATCGTCGAGATTGCCCCGGTGGATGACGTTAGATCTGGGTCATCGGCAACGTTTCACGCGTCACAACAAACGTGATACATCTTGGTGATTAATGGTCGGGTTACCAAAATGTAGGTCATGATACGGGCTTGCTTCGGCATTGCTGATCGGTTTTCGCTGGCCGACACTTGTCAATCAGGAGCGTCTTGCTTCGGCGTACGAGGGAAGGAAGCTTTCCAGAAGCCGCGACCTCGCGGCGTTTGGGAAGATCGAGAGAACGCTTTTATCGGTTCTATCGGTGCAGGTTTACCGATCCTGTTCCGTGATCGATCACTCGGAAGTCCTGATGTCTTTAAGCTTTCAGGAAGAGTATAAATACGTTCTTGGCTTGACGTCGAGCAGCATCCGGCCACGGATCACACGGACGAACGTACTCATCGGAAACCAGTTATGAAACAGTCTCGTTAGACCGGTCAGTTCCGATATTCGTGGAGAGGGTGGCTGACACAATTATCAAACACGGATCGCCCGGGGCAACGCGAAGCATCGGCGACGCTCTAATATGTAGCAGCTCTGTCTCGTCGAGCTCCGAGGGAAAAAAGGAAGGCGAGATGAAAAGCTAGGTGATAAGGAGAGGGCGAGAGGCCATCCGAGACCCAGCAAGGGCAAAGGTTGCCAGAGAAATGACACACTGTACTTTCTATGAATGGGAACCGTCGTAGACACGTCTGAACCGTTCACTGCGAATTCAGTTTTCCCAGGCTTTTTTTACTTCCTCGAGTAACCTTCGAATTTGCTAGCCGACGGAGAATGCTACAGGATTGCCGGCGTTCATTGAATATTCAAACAAGGAAATCCAAACAATTTGCGTTAAAGAGGTTTTAACGAGACAGTTTATTACACGCCTGCAACGCGCCGTTTGCGCGTTGTTTGCGCGGAAGGCCGTGAGTAACATTTATTAATTAGGCAGAAGAGATTCCAAGGAAACGAGCGTCGCGCCGATTCTTCCCGCCGATCATGCGTGTAAGTTGATAATAATTGCGGCAGCCTATTTCATTATCGTTGCAACGCGAAATTAATAAGTGTGACCGGCCGACGGCGCCGAGAGATACATCCAAGCGCCATGTCTCATTTAATTATAAATTCAATTAGGTCGAAGTTGATTGACACGCACACCGCGCGACGATTTAATCTTCCATCGTGGAAGACGCTCCATGGGAAGAAGAGGAGTAGGAGGAGGAGGACAGCGCTCGAGGAAGATTCAGCGCGTTTCGTTTCGACGGCACTCCAATCGGAATCGGTCCTGATAAACTCTGCCAACGGATTCACGGAGCCGCGTTACGTAATCACTCCCGCGTAACCGCGGAACGGTGTATATAGATCGTGTAAATTGCAGGAAGGATCGCTCACCTAGCACCAGGGGATCCATCGAGAAGTGCGAGCCTGCAGCCGACGGCTACATGCAGCGCGGTTCCTCCGTGATTCGACAGTCGAACGACTCCGTGTATGACCGAACAATGAACCCTCCAGGTGACAACTGGAGCCGTGAGTACCTCCGAAATTCCAAGTCTCTGCGGTCTCTACACTTTTCCAACTCGGCACCACTGTGTTCCCCCGTGCACTGGCATCCCTTAACTTTACATTTTCCAGTGGAACGTGTCAAGCATCTTTGCTGGCTTCACAATCACAGCGTCTCAATGGAACAACAACGAGGATCAAGATGACTCAAGGAAAAGAGAGAGAGAGAGAGAGGTCCGCGAGTCACTTCACCGATTCGCTGCGTAAGAAATCGGTGCAACCACCGTCGAGCGACGCTTCATCGACGCGGGATCGGACTGTTCGCGCGGATTCGCGATAGCTCGCGGACGCGAGCGCAGGATACTCGAAGAAGGGCGGCGGGGTACGTGATCCACACGATCGGTGTTCATTCACGCGCGCCGAAGAGAGCCACTCGAGGGTAAAACGCGACAATGAAGCGCGACAGTAAATAACCGGTGTAAACGGGGTACGGCACCGTGTCCGTGTACACCGCTTGGTGCTTCTGTAGCGGAGACAGAGCGAGAAAGTGAGACGTGGCGCGTATGGATCAAACAGAGAAACAGAGTGGTGGATAGATAGATAG